TCTTGCATTATGATGTATGGTGCAAGAATGATTTCAGTTAACAAATTATTTTAGGTACAGTGTAACTTGATAGTTTTCAGCACAATCAGTTACAGGTACAACACACGGTAACATTAACAGTACAATAGAAACCATGTCATAACAAGAGGCAATTGACAGTGCTATTCATGTATTGAATGCGGTCAAGGATTTTCTCCACTGTTAGCTGTGATACAGTTTGACCTAGCCACATAACCATTATCTAGAATATTCTGAATTCTGAGTGGATATGCGACAAGCTGATTTCAATGGCTTACAGAACTTTTAACTAAAAATGCAGAAAACAGTCAACCTCAGAGGACAATTGCTTTGTCTATCCATTAAGTCACAATGAGAAAGTCGTGTTTCAATTCATAATCTGTAAAGGAAATACTAGTGTTGTTTATGTCGCCACAATACTAGTATCGGTGTATGTTAAATTCAGGTCACTTCAATGAGCGATCGCTCATTTATGTTTTATGTTTTATGTTTTATGTTTTATGTTTTATGTTTTGCTCGGAAATGTACAGGTCAAAAATGCAAGTACACACGGATGTGTATGTGTTTACCTTTGGGGCATGTGACACTATCCCCTAATATAAACTTTCAATCGATACAAAGGACTTTAAAACATTATTAGCTGTAGGGTTCAGATAAGGGAAATGGGAAAACAAAATCATGAGAAAATTAATTTGATTTATTTAGTATGAAAATCATCTCCACAGCAAACTTCAACTAAAGTTGTTGTCAAAGAAAAGATTTTAAGGGACTACCCGTAAAACAGAATACGTCATAATTCAAAATAGCCCCAATTTAAAATGTATGAGATATATATTTTTGTATAATTAAACACAAAAAGAGCTCCCTTGGAATTAACAAAGGAAAAACACCTACTGTACATGACCCAAGAACTACACTGTAGCCTACACACACATATAAAAATATGACTCAGTTAATTGGAATGTTCTAAAAACACCAAACAGACACAAACAGGCACGTAAAAGGATGTAAATATGAAAGCTGCATATTTCATAATCCAGGAATGACATCACAAAAGAATGGTCCACCGATCACCTACTCACCTTAATACCCCATTTGTACTGGGAATTTAATTTCAAATCCCCTGAAAGAATAATCGGTGTATGGATGGAATGTATACCATCAAACTTAACCAAATTTACCTGGCATTCTATAGGCCAGTGGATAAGGAGTGTGAAGAAATTAAATTATAACAAATTCTGTGCATTAAATCTGAGTCCAACTTGGGTTCCACTTCCATGCAGGCCCTATTCTACGTATGTCGAAAAGTCCACTCACAGGTCATCAAGAGGGTATTTAAACATGCAGTACCGGTACATTTTTTTTAAAAGTACAAGTAATATACTCAGATTGTTATTATAGGATACCCACATGGAACCATTTATGTACAGGATAAACTATGTTGTGTGATTTGTAAACTTGAAGCACCTTAGAAGCAGCCCTGAAGCACCTGAACACCCAACATAAAAGGGTAAAACATACAAGGGCATCCTGGGAGGCCACTCTAGATTCAGTAACCTTTAAAAACAGTCATTGTACATGCACATGTTTACCACTTCTGGGTCATATAAATGTCATATACAGTACAGCAATATTGGTCATGCATATATGCTCCGGATGGTCGAAAAGGCCCAGTGTAAAATGAAATAGGCCAGTCTATACAGTAAGGCGCTTCAAAGGCATTTAACATTTCAGTGCAGTTTGAAAGGGACAACAGTTATTATGCCACCATTTCTACAATATATACCAATCTCATCGTTACGCAGTTATGACTCATACTATGACTTAGTCCTCCTGTATACACACAACCCAAATTAGTCGATGAGGGAAGGAACACGGTAACAACCCCCTAAACAGTCCTGTGTTTGACCATGGAAGTCAGAGTGTAACGGGCCATCTCTATGACACCCTCATCGTCAGGCTTCCTCTAACAGCTTTCTTCAAGTACATCCTCAATCATCACAGAGAATAGATCTCCATTGAGTCATTGTAAATCAACTTGTAATCTGATCTTGCCCTATTTATCTGACAAGTGTACTACGTTTATCCACGGACCTACAGTGGTTTATCATCAACTTGGAATAATAACTCCCAAAATGTCCTACCTAGACTTACAGTTTCAAGTCCCATGAAAGACTACCTACAATGTAAATGTTATAGCTGAAAGGCATTAAGTCATACAACGTTAACGCCCTTCTGGCTCTCAACAGATTCTATCTACATGTACAATCTATTTTTGCTCCAATCAAATGAGACATGAGCCAAATTCACTATGCACAAAACTTCTCATGACTAATGATTTAACTTTAGAGCGAAGGTACATAAAGCACACAATCCATCATCTTTCCTGGTTTTATCTTGTCAGATCTAGTTGTAGATTATAATATATATCACTAACCTATCCTCAGCCCTGCAATTATCTTGAATAGATACTGTAAGTTGATGCAATGCACCAAAATAATGTGTATGTTTTTTTCCTCCATCCCTTTTATTCTGGGCGTTCATAATTTCAAATGATTAAAGAATAAACCTACTACATGTCCTTCAATGCAATATGTATTTTTTGTGTCCTGCTTCATTTTGTCAATATGGTGACGTCATCAAAAGAAGCATATTTTCATTCATATGAAGCATTATTCCATTCCCATCTACACCAAACAAACAACAAAATAACACCAGAATCCAGAATTTAACAAAAATCTCTTATTTACTTTTGAAAACTAGCCTATCATCAATCTACCAGTAGTCAACTGATTTCTATAAAGGTATCCTCAATAGCTCTTAAATTACTCTCCGAGTGCAATTTAAATAGCAGCTTATGTTGCAATTCATGATAATTCAGGTGTAATTTGACAGCAATATTACTTCCTCCTTCCCTTTTCCCTCTTTCTCTTTCTCTTTCTCTTCCTGTCATTGGCTGATCTAAAAAAACGCAAGCTCATTGACAATATTTACTCATCTATATCGGTTCCTGAATGGACTCTGTTTACTATCTATGCTTCCTGATTGTCAAAGTTGTACAAAGATCCTGGCATGTTATGAATAGAACACACCTTTCAGCATAGTAGTATACAGTACATACAATGATTAATTCCTACATCTAGAGATGAAAAAGAGGTTCTTTTACATGTACCACCAGTTGCTGTCTATGTCGAGATTATGAAATGAAAGTACACCTACATGTATTTACATGTATATGCACTGGGAAGCCAACACAATCTAAAATTGAAACTTGCACAACATCTTCAAAACAAAGAACATCTGATAATCTATGTTTGTCAGTAAAAGTTATGTTTAAAGCATTCCCTTCCTGTTTTTCACTTTACTAAAGATTTAAAAGAAAGTAAGATTTCAGAGTTTATATTCAAATTGTACATTTTTTTCTAGAAGAATAGAGTTTACATGGGGCAATTTAAAAAAGAGAATTGTATTTGTTCAATTGACTTACATGTACATTCACATGATTACTGTAACAAAATGTATAAGATTTTTAAGAGAATTTTTTTAAAGTCTTTAGGAATCATAATTTGTTTACAGATCTTACAAGTCTCAACATTCTTGCTCACAAACCTGCCCCCCCCCCCCCGAAAAAAAATTAAATGTGGCAACATGAAATTGTAACATGAACGACAATGGGGTGAAAAAGTAGATGCATGGAACATGGGCCTCTAAGCATACTTGACCTAGCTAGTTATGTGTGTTACACAACACGGAAATATAGAGGGCACTGCATAAATGTCATGCTTTTTTGTCACAGTGGTTTTTTTAATATGAATTTTTCTTTTGGGCAGTTTTAATATTACTTCATCATGTGTAAAACAAGGCTTAAGAATGGGTACCTGGCAAGAAGTCAAGTATTCACAATGTACCCCTTGAGCTAAATCCATGGTATTAAAGAGAGATCTCATTATAAACCTTCACATTATGCCTGAGAGCACTGTATGAATGACTTGTGATCATTATAAAACTTGGCTGTGACGTACTTCTCAGTATTATCAATCACACATATAATCTTTTTGTCAGGCAATAATGGGTAGGGCCCCCTTCTAGTCTTACAAACATAAAGATTCCAAATTCAAAAGAAAGCTAACATATGGATGCATTTGGGAACAAGGTAATAGCTTTGCAACTATCTAGTTATAAATTCCACTACCAGGCGCGGGCTACGGTACAATACACTGTGAGAAAGCTTTCGTCCTTGAAGCCTAATTTCGTAACTGTATGTCTGGGGAAAAAAACAAATACTCTTTTCAACGACCTCTGAAACAGAGAAATTCCTATATCTTGAATAATGCAAAACAGTTTTGAATGCAAATTTATTTGAAGAATAATATCATTCTGTATGTGGTCTGAAACTTTTGGTGATCTTTGGTACTAAACTGAGGGAGATATGCAAAGTTGAATTTTGCTCCTCTCTTTGAACCGGACCTCGATAGCCATTACAAATTCAAATTGCACCTTAGCCCCGCACCTGCTACTGTCAAAATCAACGGAAGGCCCATTTACATTTAAGAAAAGCCTTTTTGAAAAGCATTAATTTACATTAGGGAAAAAACTTATTGGTGTATGTTGTGCATGCGCCACTTGTTGCTTCTCTGCAAACGTCAGTATGGAAGCAAGGAGAACCACATGACCAAAAACATTGGATCAACTTGGCATCATAACTCCCGAAATGTCATATAATACAAACGACTTGAAGGGGCACGTTCCCGCCAGTGTAGTTATCGGAACATGCCATCTGCGTAAGAGCCGTATTCTGTTGGTGTCAATAGGCAGCTATAGCACCGTCTGCCATCGCGTACGTATTTTGAGCACCCTCTGGAATAGGGGGAACATGCCTCTTTAAAGTTTTAAGTCCCATGAAAGACTACCTACACCTAAAAGCATATCTGATTTGTACCAATTCACATTATTCACTAACTCAATCAATGAATCAATCGTACCTTTGTAACCCGTTGGACAGACACAGGCTTTGGAGGCGGGGTCGCAGTAGCCCAACCCACTGCAGTTGCTAGGACACGCAGGAATGTTACAGGCTTCTCCGAGCCATAGAGGGTCGCAGGAGCAGTTGAGATGGTAGCTGGAACAGTTCCCGTGGCCGCTGCATCCGTTCCCCGGGCAGCTTTCAATGCTGTAGAGAATAGATAGAAAAGATAATGATACATTATAAACCATCATAATCATCGTCGTCATCATCATCATGATGAATCCGAAGACTGAGGTAATAATATGATTGCAGGGCCCTCAGGGAGAACAGTATTGATGAGGCCACCCTGAGTAAACAAGACTCATCATCGTCATCGTCGTCGTCGTCGTCATCGTCATCGTCATCATCATCATCATCATTACCATCATCATCATCATTACCATCATCATCATCATCACCATCATCATCATCATCACCATTACCATTACCATCATCATCATCATCATCATCATCATCATCACCATCGCCATCGTCATCACCATCGTCATCACCATCGTCACCATCACCATCATCATCATCATCATTGTCATCACCATCATCATCATCATCACCAACACCACCCCATCATCATCATCATCATCATCACCATCGCCATCGTCATCACCATCGTCATCACCATCGTCACCATAATCATAATCATGATCACTATCATCATCATGTGTGTGTAATTTGGTTTTTACAGACGTGTATCAATCAGATATGACCGCCCTTTACGTCACCATCTGAAAGACGATCATCATATGTCCATTTATACAGCACAAATCCAAGGATAACCTATACTGTGCTTTATATACATGTATGTAGGCCTAATTTATTGTACCATCTTTGGCCGAGCTACCATGATGAGGTGCTTGAGCATTCAAGGAACCTCTCCCTATCAGGAAACAATAAACTTCAATCGGGTGGATAGTGACAAATGTGGATTAATGTGATGGCAAAGGATATTAGTTTCGTGACAGGGATTTGAAGCAAGAACCATGTGTTCTATTGTCTTGTGACTTTTCCACTAGACCACTACACCACACTGCCTAATAAAATTATCTTATAGTGTCATTCGGCCGGATTTCAATAAAATGTTAATTGCTATTAAAAGGACCCTTCTTCTTAAACTATCAGACATTCGCCCAAGTGTGTTCTCTTGAAACCACTTGTGATATAACAATTCTAATTGGTAGAGAGTTAAGTTGAGTTTAATTATCTGAGTTGCATTAAATCATAACTCTAGTGAAAGAGGCTCCAGGAGAAAAGGATGTTGCAATGGAACATTAATAATCCGTTAAAACAAATTTCACCATACAGCAGACCTACTACTCTAACTCTCTTTTATATCTCTCTCATCTACATACTCTTTAGACTTAACATGAAGGATACTGTAGGAAACAACCTTGAAAGCTTTTCATAGGTTATCCTGTCAATATATCTTCCTTATATTTTCAATCTAAATTGTTTATACTGTGCTTATTGTAAATCATCTTTCATAACATTTATAATACTTCACAAATCAAATCAAGTTAAACTCGTCTCTTTTAACAAGACAGCACTTCACATCTGCCAAATATACATCTACATGAATAAAGAGGCTCTGGTTGTTTTACAGTTTTAAACCTAATGGACAGCCTCTCTCAATGAACAATACACATCATCTGCTGAGCGCCATATGGGCATTTAACTCATAGATACAGTCTCAATGCCCTCTGGCTCCCAGCAGACAATAGGGACTTTTAGATTTGCACATCGACAAAGTGGACTGCTACGTGTGCCTTAAAAGGACATCACACGTACGATGTAGTAGTCCACTCTATCGACGTGCAAATCTAAAAGTCCCTAATATGCACTTTCGAGGTACAATGAATAAATTTCCAGCACCGTCAATTTATCTTCATATTACACGCTTCATCCGCTGTATCTAGTTTTAACTATCCTCTACACATCCATCTCACACGACACATAATTCGTCGGCTTCCCACAAGAAGGCCGTTAATCCCATTGACAATGCATGCATGTTCATTTAGCTTTATGGCCTTCTTGCGGGAAGCGGACAATATGCTCCTTCCTGCGTTGGATCCATGCCATCTAGGAGATAAACCCAGCGGAACACCACCGCGCCTCGGCAAGACTTATTTTGGAGATCCCAATTCTGTTGATAAAGCGCCTTTTCTCTTGAAACTGTCATGCCCCATACAGATTCAATCACCACAATTTCTGTGGGGCTTCATAATGGATGTAAATCTCGGGCTTTGACGTCAGACACCACAAGCATCCATCTTTCTTTTCTTTTCTCTCTCTCTCTCTCTCTCTCTCTCTCACACACACACACAAACACACTCACACATCTGTGGTTGTCTGTCTGTCCGTCCCACTCTCTGTCTCTTCCTGTGTTTTTTTCGTTGGTTTCTGACTTTCTGTCAATTTTCTCTCGTTCTCTATCTCTACATTGTACGTCTCTCTCTTCTATATTAGTAGTGTTGTTGCTACCTGTCTCTCTGCCCCCTTCTCTCTCTATCTCTCTCTCTCTCTTTCTCTCCCTATCTCTCTCTTGCTCTCTGTCTGTCCATCTATCTTTCTCTCCGTCTGTGTCTCTCACGCTCTCTCTACCTCTCTCTCTCTCTCTCTCTCTCTCTCTATATATATATATATATATATCTCACTCTCTGTATCAATATTAACCTTATATTCCTTCCTCTATTATCTTTTTCTTTCTACATCTTTGTCCCCTGTGACATTCTAGCCACCCTCCAGTCAGAATACTTTATCAAACACTTCCTTTATCTTCCGCTTCAACACATAAATCATTCTTAATATTTCTTCTTTTGAGAAGCATTTGCAATTTATCATCGACAATCTCTATCTCTATAGCCTTTTCTTTATGCTTTAAAATTATGGCACTACCCAGTACAGACTACCGATGTATATTGATTTCAGGACTGTTTTCGTGCCCTCAATTTTTGATTTTCTAGATTTGTATCCCCTTTTATTTCCTTATTATATTTCAACATTTATTTTTTGCCCGTTTCATCATACACAGAGGCACTACCTGTAACATTTTCATAATTTTTGGGGGTAAATTTAGAAAATCCCATATTTCCAAGTGCCATTTGTTAAAAAGTTTGGTATGTAGAAACTACAGAAAATACAAGGTTAAAGCCCTTCCTTTTACAGCCATTTTACCTGCGGACATAGACTGTCCTTATTGGGAGAAAAAATGGACTGTCCCAGATTTTTTTCTTTCGAGTTAGCCTTGATGCTAATGAGAATTTTTTCACTCTAGGGCTGCTTACTAATGAGGTACGTGCTATAAAAGGCTTCTTACGTACTGCCTAATTGTTTACTGACATTTCCCTCACGATAAAATTTATAAATCGAGCTACATACCTGGGCCGCAGAGGAAAAGAATACTTAAAAATTTCGGGGCTACTTTTCAAGCTAGCTTGCATGAAAACAACACTCTTTATTTTGTTTTGCATTGAACTCTATGCAATTTTAGGGGCTCTTTTATGACTTTCTGGGGCTCTTTTTGGCATTTCGGGGCTACTTCGCCCTGAGCCCCCGTGTATTTTTTCCCTGGGGCCGCATTTCATAAAGAATTGATATTAATCGCAACTTATGTGAAATTAATATCAATCGCAACTACATAAATGTATGTACATAAGAGATAGGAGACTGCAAACTTACAATTGATTTGGATCAATCGCAACTCTTTATTAGACGGGCTCTGGCCCTTATGTCTGAAATGAGAGGTCATGAAACTATTAACTTCTTCCACATGAGTGCAACTCAAGACCTCTTAGCCCGCTTCAGGAGGCCAAAATAGCGGTCAACATTTGTATAGTGGAAAATCACACGTGAAACTGAAACCTTAATATCAACACTGAGCAAGAGAAGGAAAAGAGAAATAGAAAGGGGAGGACAAGTAAGGACGGACAGAGAAGAGTTATAGAATGATGAATAGTGATAAGAATTGTGAAAATGTGAAAACAATGATGGCGACTATTCTTGGCAAATGATTTAAAAATAACAGGTATTTCTAACGCTTCCAAGGGCTCATATCTTTATATTTTTTCTAGATGTCCTAAAAAGGTAAAACATAGGGGCTATTTTAAGGCTGGCTATGGGAGCTATTTTCAATATTGCCCTCAGCCCCAACCCCTGCCCGTATGTACTGTACATCGTGTGCATAAATAGTATATGGTCAGTTGACTATCAAAATATGATGTAAGAATGTATTGATATCTGATTAGATTTTGTTTATGTGTATGTATATTAAATAAACTTTACAAAAAAATCAAATCATCTTCATTCATCCTTTGCATCCCAACTCACTTTGTTCAAATCATACATTAACCATGTATTCTTGGGGGAAAAACATGATTAAATACAGTTATTGCAAAAAAAATTCTGTACCCTATTCTTGTGAAATTTGTCAATATCAAGCAAACAGTAAATGTTCATTGCACATTTAAAATAATATTTATAAAGAACATAATGCCAAAGTTGTCTTCTAACAAAAAATATCTTTATAACCAAGGGGAAGATAAAAAGTTTGATTTTGCTTATCAACAGGGAAGACAATTTTCCAGGATATCACCAATGGTAGGTTATATATGCGGCATTGCTTATCAAAAGAAGTGTACAGTATGCTCCCTTACATCATCATGGAGGTTCCTGTTTACATAATACCAATCCAATGTCCTATAAAGTTGATAACATTGCCTGGGAGCAGACTTTTACCATGTTTGTAATAGTGTTTATCTTTCTTGAAGCCAAACTGTGAATATTTACTTTAAGTACTTCAATAAATGTTTTTATTTAATCATTGGTACGCCATGCTCAAGTAGACCAAAGTTTGTTTTTGTTTCTTGAGAACTATTTTTCTTTGCTGCATACATGTACTGCATTTATGGGGAATTCCACCAAGTCCTGTACAACCTAGCTATTCAAGCAAACTAATACGCATAGATCACACAGTTAGTTAGTGACTCCCTGAGGCGACTGCATTTAAAGTGTGCTTACATCGTGTGATCCGATATGGATTTGACAGTGCAACAATACATCATAATATCTGAGGGAGTAATGTAGATCAATAATTGATAGTATGCAGTTATTAACCATGACGCCATTTCCCATACACTTGTTCCATTAAGGATTCAAAGGTCAAAACATCCCACCCAAATAGCCTCTTTCACACGTGATGTGGTAAAACCTGGGCAGGACAAGATAACACATACAGTATGACGTAAGCGTAGAAGACTTTATATTCCTGGGTACTTCAACACATAGATAAGAGAGTTTAGGTTAGGGACCTTTTTGGTACATACCGGTAGCCACTTTTTCCATCCCCTCTCGCTATTCATTGTGTTCACCATTTTCCAATTATCCACTTCTTTTTTTTAATGTAGTCTGTACCTTGTTTCTCATTGAATGCTATACTTGTTTTGTTGTTTAACTTCTAAATTATTTGATTGAAATGTCATAGTTTTATAATGTTTTTATTGCCCATTGACTGTTTTTTTTACTGTTTTTACACATTGTTTTTAATTGATGATGGAATTTAGAAAGAAATGATTTGAATTGAATTGAATTAGCACCGTTCATTTACTATACAGGGTATAGAGGTCAAGTGGATAAGTCTCCGGACCGTGAACCGCAAGATACAGACTGTGATACCCTGCCACAGCACCAAGTCCTTGGGCAAGGCATTCATCTACGATTGTCACACTTGACCCAGGTGTAGTACATGTAAGTGGGTATTCCTTAAATCCCATCTGTACTAGTTTGGCTAGGAGAGATTAGACCACCCAGCAAGGTCACTGACAGGTGGCTATCTCATCAACTCAGCTATCGATGAACATAAGAAAAAGAGGATCATGGGGGACCAACGAGCACCGATTTGGCATTGTTTTCTATATAGAGGGAACAAGTAACTACAAGTACAGGTAGTACAGTGGGGCTTTAAAATATGCACTGAGTGCTACAATTGCTGGAACTAGATAATAATATTCAAAATTCTTGGGAATAGCTTTATATCATACAAGAACAGCATATTAATGTTACTATCATGTTTTTGTCTTTTGTTTTTAATTCCTGTGGATTTTATTTATTTATATAATTATTTTTAGGGGGTGTCTCTTGTCATGTCTAAATGGGGCTTGCCTGGGATAAACGACAACTCCTAAGTCAGTAATACCTTAATGGATTATAGTCCAACGTCCACTATAATGAAGTGTAATCATTAACCATTTTAGTTTGCATTTTTTCTTTCTTAGTAATATGTACACCCCTGTACCAGGAGGTTCCTGTCATGTGCATAATAACTGTATTGACTTGGACATTGGACCGTGATCATAAACCATAATAAGCACTGCTGCGAGAAATGTATCGAGATTGATTTGAGGAATCCCTCCCTCCCTCCCTCCCTTCCCCTATACTTTTTCCCATGAATCTAAAGCTACGGTCACAAAGGTTTGTACGAACGATGCGTTCTTACGAATCTCCATGTTTTTCCATTGTCTTTCCGAATTTCCATTGTCTGAAAATCGTTCGTACGGCGTTCGTAGCAGTTCGTAATGGCATTTGTGACCGAGGCTTTAATACATAGATACACACCAAAGACATGAGCTATTGTCATGGCCCAAAATTCTATTCATTACATAATTCTTTCTTGATTTTGTAACTACATCTTTAGGGAGAGTGGGAGGAAGATGGTTTCCAGAAATTGTCTGTTTGGAGCAAGAAAGGCATTAATTAATTAATTCATTTACTTTAACAACCAGTTAACACCCTTCTGGCTCTGAACAGATGATTTAATGATTTGCCCTCAATTTAAATCCAGTATTTCCTTCTTAGATAAATCCTCCTTGTTTGTCTGAACGACATAAAAGTAACATAATTCTGAAAACTATTCAGAATCTTTCATTTATTTCCTTCCGATCAATTTCATAATTCATCCCCATCATTCTCCTATCTATGCCCTCAAAACATAATCATGCAAATGTAGAAATGATCGATGCCATTGTTTGCTCAAAGTAACTGTAATATGTACTTCTTTCACACACAGCTACTACATGCAAGTCATTTCCATTCCCAACGGATCCCAAGGCAATGCTCATAACAACCATGATACACATCAGTCATACAACGCCGCGTTATCTAGAGTGAAGAATGAGATGGATGTTGAAAGCAATGATCATGGAGGAAATTACAGTTACATCAAATTCAATTGAATTCAATGTATTTATTGTTCATATTCATAACAGAAACTTGTTTTGCCTCAAGTGACTGAACTCATTTGCATATCATCTGTTACATTTTGGAGCCAGAAGGGCAATAATCAGTGTAAAATGGTATTTGTAACACCCTTTTAGCTCCAAACGCACGATATGATCTATTCATCAATTCCATGCCGTGCTTGGCAAATCCTAAGAATGTAAAGTTAAAAACGAGCTTTTGTTATTTCCCTCCTGAAACATAACAAATACATATATCTTATCCATACCCAATTAAAAAAATAAAACATGGATTAAAACTCCACATTTCACTCTAGAAAGCTAATGTATGATCCCTGTTCGAAATACTTAAAGCCCCACTGTACTACTTGTAGCTACTTGCTCCCTCTATATAAAAAACAATGCCTAAGCGGTGACCGTTGGTCCCCCATGATCCTCTTTTTCTTATGTTAATTGAGAGCTGAGTTGATGAGATAGCCACCTGTCAGTGACCACGCTGGGTGGTCTAATCCCTCCTGGTCATACTAGTACAGACAAGCTTTAACGGAAAAGAAATGATGATTCTGGAGAAGCTTACCTGTATGAAATATTGAAGCCATCTAGACTGAATGCTGCATCACTGTAAAAGTACAGGTAGGCGAAGCCTGACGTTGTGAGGATCTCATGATTGATATTAACTGTATCGTGAATTATTGGACCACTGCAGAATCAATGAAAAAGGAACATGGAAGAAAAAAATTAAGAGTTAGCAACATGAATAATTTAGTACACAACTGTACAATAAAATGAATTCTTTTTATCTTGCATGTATATGACAGGGGATAATATTGTGTATTCAATCCTTGATGTAACATGAAACTGATTAATTTGGTTGAAGCAAATATGTATTTTTTGGAAGCTTCAGAATCAAGTCTGCACTACAGACAATTGCATGGCAAGAAAAGCATATATACAGACAGAATATATCTTGAATCTACATGTCAAAAACCTTTCGAACACAGCGATATAAAAGTATGCTTCAAGGCACTGATTTGATGGGTGTTTCATCATTTTCCTGAATATTCTTGCTTTAAAAACTCTGCGTATATATACACTCCAGTACCCGGTACATCATATGAAAAGAAGAGACATGATAACAGTCAAACTGACAACTTTCATAGATGCCAACACATTCGGTTACGATTCCCATCAAATCATCAGTGTGGATTTAATTGGAAACGGTTGGAACAATCTAGTAAATATACATGAGATCTGGATAGAGATATAGAGAGAGGGAATATTGAGCAGGAGTGCATATTGAGCTTCAAGAAAATCAATTAAGACGCCTGCATATCCTGCTGAACCTAGTCTCGATCAATTCGAGGAACAGCATCAAGAGGCACAGAGTGATTCACAAAAAGATGAGAAAAATACATGAGAAATCTATTAACCTTTTTATTTTGCCCTTTTCCTTCCATTTCTATCATCTTTATTTCCCCTGTCTACAACTCTCCCCTCCCTCACCCAATCAATTTATTTTCTTTCTTATCTCCATTTGCTATTCTTGTTCTTCCATTTCAAATATTACTTCATCACCTTCTTTCTCATTTCTATTATTCTCTTCTGATCAATCTTTATATAATATTGGATGGCTTTGAGTGTGCTACAAGAATGTATTGTGATAGCGAGAGCAATATATTCTTATTCTTGTATCACACGTAAACAGAGCCATACAATATATTATTATTATTATCTATATCAGGCTGACTAGCAAAATAACAAAATTTGATAATCAAGCAATATTGTATCCACAGTTAAAGTTCCCGGATGACTGATCAATATGAAAGCACTATTGATCTGTCATCCTGGAACTGCAGTGAGATATTAGATACACCAATTTATTGTACCCCTTAGAAGCCTAAACACATATAGGTGATAGTGTTATTTATTTGTAGTTTTTATCTTCCTCTTCTACTCTTTTTCTGTCATGTTAACTATTCTTTCACCATCTTTGTTTCTTATTTTGTCAATTCAGACCCGAAAGGGCATGAACCATACTATATGCTAAAGTATATTATTTCACACCTTTCTGGCTTCAAACAGACAATTTCTTTTAATTTTCCTCATGATCAATTTAATAATTCATTCACCCTTTCCCCTTTATCTTTTTTCCCTTTCTTTTTACACCCAATCACTTCCTTACAATGATATGAGGTTTAAATAAACTTGCCTCTCCCGCCCCCCCCCCCCCAACTATTTTATTTTTTTTTACTGACAAATCACTTTTTGCCTCCCTCCATCCCTGTTGATTGACAGATTACTCAAATAAATCATACTAAAAGAAATATCATGTGTTTGTTTTTTTAATACATTACTTTCATTTTCCCCCAGGTGTTTTAAACTGCCAATATAAAAGTGAGGAGATAGAGAAATGTCAATTATGAAGCAAAGATGTGAGTGGTTTCAAATAGATTTGGTTATAAATTATGATTTTTTGTTTGCCATTTTTTCTTTAAATTACAAAAGTATCCTGCCATCCATGCATCTAGAGGAAATCCCAATGAATAAAAATGGAAGATGATGGATGCAATTAAAGAATAACAAAGTGCAAACTAAATGGGAGATAGGAGATGCACAGCAGCCAGTGACTTCATCTATATTCCTCCCGCGGGCAACGCTTCCCATAAATCACTTCCGTAATTGGAATCTAAAGCCGGAGTGAATATATTAGTACATGTTCAAAGGAAATCATTCTTGATAACGGGTCATTTCTAATGCAAGTACAGAATGTATGTGAGTGAGTGGCACTCTGGCAAATGAATGTTCTTCTAAATTTGTTTTTGTTTTGGTAAGATAAAAAATATTTAATTCATTACAAATGAAAATGAAAATGTTTTAAATTAGATTGTGTATTATAATTTTTTTTTTATTTATTAAGGGATTATATTGCTGATAATGAAATTTGAAAAAAAAGATTTAAAACTAAAATTGCCATTAAAAAAAGGATGATTCCATTGTAATTGTTCTATTTAATTCTATAATGACTTATGTATTCATACATGGGCATATATCTCACTTATGTGAACACATAAACATGTGGTAAAGGGTAGATTTTGAATTACTGAAATTCAATTCTTTTTGGATAGAGAGAAGAGCAATTTTTTCTTCTCATCCTAGTTTTCTCACTTGCTATTTCTCACTCATGTATTTTTTTAATATCTTCTAGAAACAAAATAGGTAAGAGCCTTCCTACACACTTAATCATTTTGTCAATTTCTAGGATTTCAGTGCTGGATGTATCAAGTGTCATAATTGGTTTTCAGGAAAGGAAAATCCAATGAAGTATGGAAAAGCTATGGGTATTTTGATACGTAAGCCTGGCCAACATAACCACTTTAGGAAATATTAACTACTTACTATCCCATTCATTCAATAGGGGACCACAAGTCTCCAATGTAATTATCACTTATAAGGAAAACCAATTTAAACCAGAAGAGGACCTTGACGTGAGATTGAACTCTTCAAAAGAAAGCAAGTAGGATACTGTTACCACAAAGCTTAAAGCCTACTTAAGAATGATGAGTAAATAAATAGATGTAAACTCAAATACATTTAGGAGTGTATTATAAAAACTGAAAAGAATTATTGTGATTGCTATAATGGGTGTTTTTGTCTTAGGTTATTTTATATCAATGCGTTTTTCTACTGAGTACCATTGACTTGATATTTATACCTCAAACAATTATATCTACATGCAGATCATTTTGGATCTACAACATATGTTCAGTAACTATAGGCTTTTCGGTGTGGAGTGTTTTTGACATATTTCCCCCAGAAATGATGCTGACCTTTTCACTGTTTTTACTCTTCCCAATGTTCCAACCGACACCACTAAAAATCAAGGATCCTTTTTTATCATGCAGCAAGTTACCCCCCCCCCCCCTAATCCACCTTTCACCCAGGAAAAATTTTCCTGACCAAAATGCTTTTTGGGGCTAATTGCTACTATGCAGCCATACATGGCTTACAATGTAATATCATGTTCAGCGCAGGGTCTCTCACGGCATCGATTGGAAACATGACTACTACAGAACCATTCAGAACACACCACCATTGGCCTTGAGCGCCACGGGTTGCCCACCTGGATGAGCTTATAATGTTACCCACTGAAAATGTCAAAACATCAATGCTCTCATTCTTCTTCAAATCTCAAGCTTAAAAAAGGCAAAAAAGGGTCACCATATGCTCTCCTACACACTGCTTATTTTCAGCAATTCATGTCTAAATGTTGGCCTGAACATTTTGTATATCATATGCTGATAGCAATGTATGTAGTAATGTATCGTCGCTGTTTTCACGAAGTGACGGTAGCGACAAAAAATTGCATTCACTTTGCGTTACCATTTTCCTCACTACCGTCACTTCGTGAAAATAGGGACGGTATGTCTCTTGGGGTAACATATTTCTGGCTCTTACGAGATATACATGTATGTAGTACATGGAAGAGTCTTGCTCATGAATGCAATTACCACCAAGTGTTTTTGGTTTTCATATCAGCACCTACAACTGTACCACCCATGTTTAAACTAAATAATATATTAGGGCATTGGGCCATGTAACAAAGTTGCTTGAAAAGCATTTGTCTCCCCCTTATTTAATTGTCATTACATTCCTATTTCATAAAAATACACTTGCCATTTTTCATTAGAAATTGAATTTCAATATTTGTCCGACAGGTGAATGGCCCTTTGAAGGGGAAGTTCACCCAAATATCATCTTGTTTTAATCAAAACAAAAAATGAGAGAAACAAATAATGAAATTTTGAGCAATCTCCGATTCAAAATAGGAAAGTTATAAATTGTTGAAGTTGACATCGGTGAATCACAAATTGGCAACACTGCGACGTTTCTTGCAAGCTCCTGTCTCTACGGGGGAGAGAATGAATAATTTCAAGTCTTGCAGCCAGAAAATATATTTCTCATATTTCTCCTGGCTCCACGCGTATTGATTTGATAATCAAATCATGAGCACTAGAAGACTAAAGCTCATGTCACTGCTTCTTTCATCATACCATCTATGCGTGTGACTCATGCAGGGCTCGGGATGATAAACCGTACACTGCCCCTTTTTCATGACATGTACATGTTATTGTTGGTTTCATTCTTTCAAGTGATTTATTTCATCTTCTACATGTATACAAGTTTGGATATGCTGATCTGAATTATATAAAATAAAAGGTTTGTTTTATACATTGATATATGGAAATCTTTCAAGCCATGTACATGTTATTTTTTGTTTCATTCTTTCATGTGATTTACTTCATCTTCTAGATACAAGTTTGGATGCTGATCTGATAAGTGATAATACACATGAATTATATATAATTCTAAGTTTGTTTTATACAATGATATATGGAAATCTTTCAAGCCATGAACAAATATTTGTTGTTTCATTCCTTCAAGTGATTTATTTGAACTTCTACTAGTTCTAGATAAAAGTTCATATGCTGATCTGTTAATACACATGAATTAAAGAAATTAAGTTCACTTTATAAAAGGATTTAAATCAGTTATCGCAAAAGATGAAGCCCAGAATTGACAGGTGCCATTTTTATCATCTTTTTTCCTTCAATATATTTAACTTACATGTGTGCACTGCATATGTGTGGGTGATGTGTGGGTGATGTGTGGGTGTGTGTGGGTGTGTGTGAAATCTTTGAT